CCTAAGGAAATAACTTTAAAATGGTGAGCAAACAGATTCAAGCTGCAGAGCCCGCCCAAACTATCAGCTCAGGTGTAGAAGGGGAAGAACCAATCAGCTTGTAACAAACAATTTCAAACTGCAGAGCCCACCAAGATTAACTACCCAGGTACAGAAGACCAATCAACTTTGACTCAGAGATATTATAATTCCCAGCACAGCACAGCTCACGGGGCATTTTGTTCGAATCCCACCCCCCTCTGTGGATCTACAGAGAGCGTTTTCTCTTGTGCTTTTTTTCTCTTATGTTTTTGCAATAAAACTGTACTGCTTAAACCTTGCCTCTCCGATCCACGTTTCCATTCTTCGGTAATTGCGTGATCATGATCCCGGAAAAAGACATCAGGATCCTATATCAGTCTGGCTTGTGAGATGAGCTGCTTGTTTTTTTAAAAATGCTTTTTTTTTTTTTTGTCTTCAGTTATCTCAGCCTCAGGCAGTAGTGGCTGTGTTTACACTTCAGGTTATCAGCAAGATCTTGAAAGTTACTGAGAGTTGGAAAAATCTTTCAAGACTTTTACTTTTGTCAATTTTCAGAATATAGAGTTGGTGTCCAATTATAAGCAGATTAGGAGATGGGTGGATTCCCCTTTTCTCTGAATGATTAGTTTAGTTCCCTTCTTTTCAGAGTCTATCATAAAGGCTTATACGTGAGAAATTTCAGACCATTTCCCAGCAATTCCAGTTGCAAAATAGTATAATAATTCAGTGAACTACTGAGCAACAAGTGCTCTCCAGATCTAATATATACCTTGGCCAAGCAGTACTATAACAGAATATTAATTTCTTTTTTGGTCAATGGCTTATAGCCATAGTTTTGCTGATGACCTAATATTCTGCCCAATGGGGTTCCGACTGGTATTGAAACCTTAGGTCCCATTATTGAGCTGAAACAGATGTCACCACATTTAACACAGACTTAAACACAGAGAGATCCAAGTATTCCCTGGATTACTGAGCAACAGCGGTTCGATTCCCAGCCCGAGCTGAGCTGCCGCTGAGCTGCCAACAGGTGGCAGGATGGCTCAGCCAAAAAAAAAAAAGACCACCAGATAGATGCTCAAAGCCTGAAGCTGGAGGTGGTGGCTTTTACAATGCGGCAGATGGGCCCTGCTTCCCGGGAACAATGTTGCCAACCACAAGTGCACTTCCAGAACCATAGCAAGCTTGCACCCAGAGCCTCTTACTGGTGGGGGTGTTATGCCTTGCTGGATATTGCAACTTCACCTGTTGGCGCCAGTGGGTCAGTATGACCTCCAGATGGCCCTCAAAGAGGAAACCCAGATGGTGAGTGCAAAATCCTCCAGCTGTACACACCGGGGCCACCCCACTTTCCAAATCAGTAATTAGAGGCACAAAACAGAACAAACGCTTATTCTAAACCAACTGAGCAGGAGCTCATTTGTGACAGGCGGGTCCTGGAGCAACCCCCACCTGGGCAAGCAAAATCGCTTGACAGCTGCTTCCAGAAGTCAGCCTTATGCCAAGGAATCCACCCAGTCCCCGGCAGACCCCCAAGTCCCTCTGCAAGCCTAAAGATTTACCAGAGGAACTCCAGAGGCTGTCCTGCCGCGATTGCAGGAAATTGAAACTGGAGGGTAATTGAGTCCTGGGCCTGTGCTGCCTGCACCTCTCAGGCAATAGCCAATAGACTGACACAGGAGTTGGGCTACAGAATATGTTTATTGCCAGAGCACCGGTTGTCTGAGAAAGCAGCAGGTTAACACCTTCAAAAACTGCCTTAACATTCTCAGACTACCTTGGGGTACTTAAGGGAAAACCTGGGTGTTCCTCCAGAGGCTAGGTGAGGGCTCAGGGGTCTGCATGGAGGCTTTCCTCTGGCAATGTAGTTCCCTGGTGTCTTCAGCAACCCAGGAACATGATGGCAGTAGCCTGGAAAGAATGCTAGACCATAGAGATTGTGATCAATAAGCCTAAGAGTATTAATCATGTTTCAGGGTAATTTTCTAAAACAGGGAACTGGGACAGGGGTCATTCTGAGCTCAGCCCCAGGGAAATGATCTATTATTAAGCTATAGGTAGGTCAAAGAAAGGTGAGGCCAGGGCTGCGAGGCCTCCACTATGGGGATGCCAACTGGGCCCTGTTTCAGCAGCATGTAGGCAGCAGGCTTGGAATCTATCCTCCTAGTTCCCCCTGTTCTTTTTTTTGTAAAAATAATCCTCATGCCTCTTCCCTATATTGAGGATATTTAAAACTTTTCCCTTGTCTTTAATGCTGTCTTAGTCCTTAATGATGAAATTTCTTAGTTCTTAACGATAACTTAAAAAACAAATATTACGTTAGATAAATCTATGTTCAAAATTCACATCTAGGAATCAGTGGTTCACAAAATAAGATATAGGAAATGAGCTTAAAATTATTTTAGGGGAAAACAAGTTTCAAAGGAAAATACAAGGTGAGGTCAAATCAGTTTTTATGATTGAAACTGCTTTAAAGGCTAAGAGCAGTAGTATAAATAATACTACCATCACATGCAAATTTATAACATCTTTAGAAAATATTTTGATTTGGGTTATTTTAACAGATTGGAGCACTTAAAATTTAAGTAGATACATTTAAACTTAACATATAATGCATTGTTAAAAAGATTTTAAGTACTCTTAAATACTGTTCCTTATAAAGTTTAATTGAGGTTGTCTATTATTGTGCCTAAGGGCCTGGATTGAGTTATAAGACTGGTGCCACCACTTGTCAGCAGTATAACCTTCGGCAAGTTATTTAACCTCTAGTCCCTCCATTATATTGTAAAGTGGAGGTACATTGTATATTGTAAAGTTGATTGTGCTGAGGATCAAATGAAACTACTGAGAACAGTGTCTGGCACAGGTAAACACTGCATTGTTTGCTGCTTTTATTATGAAACGAGATGAGTCATTTGGAAAAATAATTTACTTCTGGAAAACCCAGCAAACTTAACAAGGGTAGAAATAATTCAGGGATTTTAGTAATATAGCCTGTGGCTTTTATTAATATTTATTCGATTTTATATACTTCTATGAGCAAATTTTCAGATTTTTAAAAAACGGCTTTAATGAGGTATAAGTGATATACAAAATCTCACATAAAATTTTGAATTTGAAAAGTTCTGACATATGTATACAGAAATCAAATCCTCACTACAATCAAGAGAGAACACATCCACTACTCACAAGTTTCTGTGTGCCACTTTGCAATCCCTCCAGCCTCTCCCTCAGGAACCACTGATCCCCTTTCTGTCACCATATATTATTCAACTAATATGTTTAATTAGTGATTATGGTTATTTATTAAGTATTTGAGTGATGGTAGGTAAAAAAATCAAAGAACATAAAAAGGTGGTTTCTATTGGTAGGAAAAAACAAACTAAAAAAAGTAGTTTTTAAAGATGAAAGAAATTTAGAGTATTTGTGTGAAGAAATTAAAAAGTTACCAATAAAAACTTAAGAGAAAATTTTATTTCACTAAGAAATAGGTGACTTGTGATACTACCTAGTAATTGATGGTGTTACTAACATCTTTATATGGCTTTCTTTTTTTTATATTTCATTCATTAGTGTAGTCAACAGGGGTTGGTTGGTTGGTTATTTGTACCAGGGACTGAAAGGGGTACACTTGTGGCGGGGAGGTCATGTAGACCTGTGCAGTCCAATACATTAGTCACTTGCCACCTATGGCTATTTATAGTTCAGTTGCACTAGCCACATTTAAAATTCTCGAGTCCCACACATGGCTGTTGGCTATCATATTGGATGGTGCACATATAGAAATTCCCATCAGTAATGAAAGTTCTGTGGACCAGAGCTGACTTGGAAGACTCATGAGGCACATTGTCTACAGCAGAGATGAGCAGGTCTAAGTTGAAGCAATGGAAACAAAGTGGAGAAGGAGAGGTCTCTGAGACAATGTGATGCAGGGTAAAGACGGGGATTCATTTAGGGTGTCTTCTAGGTTCCTCCTTACGAAAATGGGTGAATAGTGGAACCATTCACCAACAAAGTAAATATAGAAGCAGGCTTTGGAAAAGGGATGAAATCATATTTGTACCCAGTGAGAGGCAGCCCTTGCACAGGCCAGTGATCTGAGAAGCTGCTGGATCTCAGAATGCAATCCGTGGGGGTCTGGGTAGACACAGGGTTCCAGGGAAGGAGCAGTAGCCATGGGTTGGGCTGGAGCCCTGCACTTGGATGGGAGCTCTTAGAGAAAGGAGGCTGCATAAGATGGCCAGAGACATCAGGGCCTGGGTTTCAAACTGAGTGGGTCTAGAAATCAACAGACTATGTCTCCACTAGCATTAAAAAAAAAATAGTATAGAAAATACTAATCTGCTCTGCATATAATCTGAGTAAAGATATTTTCCTGAAACATTTGATATGAATATACTTACACACACCAATGTATACTGGGTTGCAAGGTAAAACATATTTCTGGGTTGTGGTCCAATTAGCTTGAATGTCACCAATTTATAAAATGAGTAGCACAGGGGCCAGCCAAGTGGCTCAGTTGGTTGTTAGCTTAAGAGCGTGAGCTCTGAGCAACAGGGTCACTGGTTCGATTCCCACATGGGCCAGTGACGCTATGCCCAAGCTAAGCTGCCAACAGGTGGCAGGATGGCTCAGATGGTGAGAGCATGTGCTCCTAACAACAAGACTGCCTATTCCATGGTGGGCTACATCTGCCCACAACTAAGACTGAACTCGGCACCTTGAGCTGAGCTGCTGCCTAGATGGCTCAGTGGATAGAGTGTGCACTCTTAACAACAAGGCTGTCTGGGTTTGACTCCCAAATGGGATGGTGGCTATGCCCACCCGCAACTAAGATTATAACACAGCACCTTGAGCTTAGCGGCCACGAGCTGCCCACGGGAAGGCAGATGGTGACTGGCACCCTCCACAACTAAGATTGAAGAACAACAACTTGGCTGGTCCCCTTCCCCAATTAAAAAGAACAACAAAAAAAAGAGTAGTAAAGACTATAAGCTATATTTGAACTGGGACAGTGTCGTTTTTGTCATCAGCACAAATCCTGGCACACAGTAGAATCTCCATAAAGACAAGCTGCATGAAGGAATGAATCAACACACCACTGAAGAGGAAACCCAGGACAAGGTGACTCAGGGGCTAAAAAAAGATGAGAGAGAAAAAACTCAGTGTCAGCTGTCAGTGATTTGGCAATGTTCCGTGCATGCATGACCCTATGTTTGTAACTGTTGTGTGTTGGCAGGAGCAGAAGCCAGAATCCAGAGGTAAATGGGAAGTAAGGAAGTGAAGATGAGACAAATGACAGTGGAGATTGAAAGACATGTTTTGTATCGATCACATGCAAGTTTAATATCTGCTAGGAAGAGATTATAAGAAAGGCATGCTATCCAATAATGGAAATCACTAACCACACGTGGCTATTTAAATTAGAATTACATTAAAATAGAGTTCCTTAATAACTGTAGCTCCATTTCAAGTGCTCAATGGTTAATGGGCCAGTGGTGGCCATTTCACAGAGCTGATATAGAACATTTCCATCATTGCAGAAAGGTCCACTAGAGACTGCTGCTCTAGAACAAAGTCTTAACTCATCATGTCTACAACCGGCCTCAATAAAACAAGCCAGTGCGCAGAGCTCCACACCTCTCCCTCTCAATCCATAAGTGATGAGATTGCATTTGATCTCCTTGAGGGCCAAGCCTGGGAGAGACCAGAGGGACACAAGTGTGATCCGGGGGCAGTCTGGACATTACATGTGCTTGGGATGTTTCCCACCAAATGCTGCAAAGATCTGTGACAACTATAACTCATGATGCGAAGCACTGGACACAGATGGAAAGGAGCTGTGGGACAAGGTGCAAGGGTGACAGACATTGGGAAGGATTTGAGCCAGGGTAGACAGAAGGTGGTCGGTAAAATGGAGTCATCACAGTGAAACTCCAGCTTTACAAAACTAAAGTGACTGCTGGAAAGTAAACACATAAATTGGTTTCTATACATAACCTTCAAGGGATTTGCATGGCATGGCATCTTAACAATAAGGAACATGACAGAAGCCAAGAGGCGTTACGATCCACCAGATACGTTACTATCCACCAGATCCATCCACTTAGGACACTCGCCCTGCAGACTCACTGCAGTGGGAAACGTCACTGCTGGCATTTTAACACAAAACTTCCGATTTGGGGGTAAATTTTCTTTGAGATCACTCTTAAAGGAATATTCAGCTCTACTTCTTATAACTTTTTTTGGATGTGGTGATTCAGGGGTGAAGCGATGAAAGTGAGTATCCAAAGGACAATTCGTCCATTTGCCTGCCACAGATCAGGGTAAACCCTGACCAGCTCCGAGGAAGTCTGGTCTTTTGTAGAAACAAACGTCTGCCCGTCGGTCGCTCCGCTCAGGTCTTGTCACTGATGCGCCAAGCTCCTTCTCCTCCTCGCGGGCTTTCGAGCGCCGAGGGCACCGAGTTCACGTTGACAAATTCCTGTAAGCGCTCGCGGCGTAATGAGTGCCACACCGAGGGACAGGGCCTGCCTCGGGGCGGGGCTGTACCGGTGGCGCCGGCCGGAAGCCCGTCGGAGCCGTCGATTAGGCACCGTTACTAAGGGCACCGCTGAGTTCACGGCAGTGAGGGGACTCACTTCTGTAAAAAGCCACAGTTCGTCTAACGGCTGACTCCGCTCGGCTCGGACTCCAGTCCAGTGGCCGCACCGCGCATTCGGAACCTAGCAGCTCACCACCCGCGCCGCTCCTGACTTCCTGACCGAGGCCGGAAGTGGCTGTCTAGCAACCGGAGACGCAGTGCCGTAAAGCAGGATGGCACTGCTCTCTTAGGATGACGGTTGTCCAATCCTCGTTCCATTTCTAGTACTTCCGTACCCACCAGGGACTCTCGACTTGCAGCGCCCGCCCTAGTTTTTCTCAGCACAGCTTGCTTATGTTTCAATCCCATCCAGCCGCGGTGGAGGACGGGCTGGAAGCAACGTGCGTGGCGCCTGAGCGCCGTGGGGCGCCATGTTGTACGGACCGGAGGCAGGGCAGGCGAACGGTGGGGCATCCAAAAGTGGCCTCCTGGTAGCAGAGCGTGAGCGGGAGGGCGTTGTCCGTTTGACGCATTTCCGCTTCCTGTCGGCCGCGTCCTATTTGTTTGGACCGGCTTGTGGGGAGGAGGGGAAGCTTGTTTGCAGTGAAGGGTCCCCGGGCTCGGCAGGCTAAACGGTGGTGAGGCTGTGAGTGGGGGCTCCTTTTGCCTCGCTGTGTTGGGGTCTGGGGACAGGGTCTTTGGGGTCGAGAAAGCGTATGGGGTTGAAGACGCGGAACTTGAGGGTTCGCGGGCTGGAAAGACGAGGAGGTGGGGCGGGGCTGGCGGGCTGAAATGAGTGGCTGGGTGCGGCGGCAGCAGACGCAGGAGTGAAGTGGAGGGGAGGGTGAGCCGGACAGGTGGGGGCGCGCAAAGAGAAGGATTTCAGGATCTGGAGGGCTGAGAAGTGGAGGTGGGCGCGGGTCGTAATGCGGGGGTGTGCGAGACGAGATTGGGGTCCTTGGTTGGCCGAGGGCTTGCAGGCGCTGGTGGCCGACGTTCTGATGCTGAACATGTCCTTGGCCTTTGTTCCCCTTTCAGCTCCCCAGAGACACTCATCCGCAGCCTGTGCACGGCCCAGCCTTCTCTCTCCAGCTGCCACCCGACCTGGAGGCACTTGCCTCCGCCCTCCCGAATGGTGCGCCTCCTCGCAGGCCTCGGCCCAGGATCCAGGCCCCCTTTGCCCCCTGCCTCGGAGCAGCAGCTCCGGGTCCTTCCTGGTGGGCTCCCTGTGGCTGGGAGGGAAGAACTTTTGCACAGACGAGGCCGTAGCTCTAGGAACCCCGCTGACGACTTGAATCTCGGCCTTTAACCGCCTGTGAGGTTCTTCCTGTGCCCCTTTACCAGTCTTTGAGAAGAGAGCCCTTCTTGCCATCCAGAGCCCAGGAAGCCCCAAGCTGGGGCCCTGATCCCAGCATGTTCATCCTGTCTTGTGCATAGGGCTGTGCCCTCTCCAGGTGGGCATGTCTGAGCTCAGGCAGGTTCCAGGGGGGCGGGAGACCCCCCAGGGGGAGCTGCGGCCAGACGTTGTAGAGGATGAAGTTCCTCCCAGCCCAGTGGCAGAGGAGTCCCTAGGCGGTGGGAGCAGCAGTAGTGAGGCCAAATTGTCCCCAAGAGAAGATGAAGAACTGGACCCTAGAATACAGGTGAGGAGGCTGATGGGGGGAGAGATTGGGAGGCCTGCTTTCCTGGAGAGCTGGCACATGAATGCATTGGGGCAGAAGAAAACAAATTTGTTAACAAATCATTGCAATGCAGTGTGACAGGTGCTAACAGGTTAGTCTGGGAGGGCCAGCCCGAGTGCCTGGGGCGTGTGGCTGATGCCTCACTAAAGACGGGAGGCCACAAATTGGTAGCAGACCTAGGAATCACAGTCCGGTCAGTCAGTGTAGAGTAGAACTGCTGTTCTTTCCAGATATGTAGAAGGGCTGTCAGCTCAGACAGGTGTTAATGGGACATGAGGGGACGTGGCTTTGAGATTAGGGGGCACTCTCACCTTATCAACAATGCCTCCCAGGCACATTCACATTGTAAAGGGTGAAAGCTCTCACATCTTGTAAAGGAGTTACTAGCTTTCAGCCTGTAAGGAAACCTGATGTGCTCGGGATGTTGTATGAGTTGGGGTTGGCCCTTAGTAACACACATGCTGGACTCTGAGGATGCTGGGTCTGTCAAGTGAATGCAGGAGCCGGTGTGTCTCCTTGGAGCATTTGCAGGCTGGGTGGTTGGCAGGGCACATCTTGGGGAAGGAGATGTGGAGCAGTGGGTGAGCGGGGCACAGGAACTGGGTGGAGGACATACTTGGCCAGCCTGGGCTAGACTACAGTGTTGCCAGGCAGTGGCTGCCGAAGGCTTCCTGGGGAAGCTGCTTGGGCAGGTGAGGCCCAGGATGTGTCTGGGGCTGAGTCTTCCCAATGGGCTGTAGCGTCTCTAAGATTCTGATGTGGAGGCAACTCACCTCTGTTGGTGTCCCTGGGCTTGCATCCCTGGGCTTCTCTAGCAGCAAGGCTTCAGATTACTTTTGTGCATCCAGAAGAAATCACAGCTTCTCCTGGCACCCTTCTTGCCCATACATCTCAGGATGTATGGGGGCTGTGTCCGTGCTCACAGTGCAGCGCTGATCAGTGACATTGAAGTCAGCTCAGTCTGCTGCTGGTGCTACAGATTTGTCGTCCATTGAGGAAACAAGTGGCTGTGAGGGGAGTCCTGGGTTGAGATTTGGGCGATCTCCAGCCTGTGATCTGTGATTTTCACGCATGGCGGGTAACTTCCACAAGCCTTGGTTCCTTTGTCTATAAACTGAGGGGTTGGCCTCGCTGATTTGCACGGCCCTTCTGACACAGTCCTATGATTCTTTTTCTCAGACTCATTAGTCTGATTCTTGGTGATGGTTTGTGGTTAGCGCTTTGGGAGAGACCCCTATGCTATTGGGGAGGAGGACAGTGACATGCCACATGCCCTGCAGTGTTCCTGGTCCTGCTCCCAGGAGAGCCACCAGTTCCCTGTCCTGTCCGTGTCCCTGCTCCCACATGGGCAGAGGTGGTGCTATGAGGAGTCACTGCCATGCTGCACTGTGCAGTCACGTAGCCACCAGCTGCAGCTCCCAGGTGCTGTTGGCAGTACAGAAGTAGAACATTCTGTCATGGGCAGGTCTATTGGACGGGCTCTGTGAGGGCTGGAGAGCACTGGGTGCACATAAGAGTCTCTTGGACTCTAGTGAGCTTGCTGTTTCACTGGGGAGAGAGGTGGGCAGGCCCTAGTCTGTCTTGCCAGATTGGGAGGCACACTGTGGGTTATGTGGGGAGGACAGGCCTCCTTCACCTGTGGCATGCAGAGGGCCTGCGCTCCAGCCTCAGCAGACACTCAGCCGTTCTGGACAGGTGTGTGTGTGTGTGTGTGTGTGTGTGTGTGTGTGTGTGTGTGTGTGTTTGTGTGGGTGTGTGTGGTGTGGGTGTGTGGACAACAGTGGGGCATGTGCCTTTGCAGGTCCCTTCTAGTGTTGACAGGGCATTCAGTGGGTCTCCACCCAAAGATCCCTCAGAACCCACCAAAGAGCTTTCAGAACACTTGTTCCTGAGCTGTGCCAAGACAGTAGAACCCTGGTCTGGAAGTGGGACATGACTCTAAACTGCAGCCTGGGCTGGGGACCCTGCTCAGGTGTTTCCTGGGACTTCGGGTAATGCTCTTTCTGATGTGGGGCCTGTGGCTTCTTGGCAGGCAGGCATCCCACCTGTGTTCCCATTGTCTGCTGGAACCCCTCTGGAAGCTGGAGAGAAGCCAGCTGGAGGCCAGCTCCAGGCCTATGGGAACTGTGCTGTCTCCCAGGAAAGGCTGTGTGTCCATGTCTTGACCCCAGCATAGTTCTCTGAGGCCTGCAAGCTGGTGGGACAGAGAGGATCGTAGAGGAGGGGAGCAGGCAGGGAGGGTGTTGCTGGGTTGGCCTGGGTCTCCTCCCATGCGGCTTTCTCAGCCCGCTTTGTGACAGGCCATTCTTTCCTGAGGTGAGTACATACAGTCACTCGGAGGCTCTTTCTCAGGCTCTGCAGGGTAACTTTGTAGCCTGTGAGTCCTCACTGAAGTGTCTGTCTGGCTTCCCGCCATCTTCCCTTCATTTCCATCCTGGGCCCGCTTGCCAGCTGTGGGTTAGTGCTTTGATGGCCTGCATGGTGGGCAGGCACGTGTGCAGCCCGAGCACGCAGGCCTCTTGCCTCCATGGCCCGCGTCCTGGAACTGCGCCGAGTGCCTGTGAAGGTCACCTTTCTGCTGTCTATGGGCTCACTGACCAGTGATGTTTGCTGACTCAGACTTCACTCTCCTCAACTGCCATTTCAGCAGCTGCCAGCAATCCCAGGTGGGGCAGGCCAGACTGAACATGTCCCTAGCCATCCTAAAGGTTCAGTCCTAGCGGTCTCCGTTCACCCTCACTGCCTGGCTGTCCCCATCCCCTTGCCCACCCTGCCCTCCAGCCTATTAGGAAGAGGGGCAGACCTCATGAACAGAAGCCTGAACGCCTGGAGGGCTGTGCTGGTGTGCATTCCCACCCTTGGCCAGCAGCCAGAGCCCTGTGTATCCCTTTTCCAGTGGGGGTGACTTCGTAGAGCCACTCACTACTCTGACCGACCTTGTCAGCCTGGGAGTACTTTGGGCCGTGGAATGGAGTGGAAACCAGTCTGGACCTTGGTTTGCCTATGGGGATATTGCAGGGTGGCCTGTACCTGCATCCTCTTCTCTCCCAGAACCAGTGTGTGCTGCCCTCCCAGGCCTGTTCTCCTACCAGGACCATGGCTTTGCAAGTTGATGGTAATCCTGTGTTCCCTGAGGCATCATCCAGGGGTGTCCGTAGTCCTAGGAGGGTGGTCACAGCAGCAGGAGAGCAGATAGAAGGGCAAATCCTGGACCCAGCCCTAACTCTGTCCCCATGCCCCATGCCCTCATCTCTTGTCTGTGGAAGCCAATGAGCTGGAAAGGGTGTATGCAGGCAGGGCTGGGAGGGCTGCATGGCTGTCCCACAGGCCGTCAGCCACAGGAGCTGGACCCGCAGGAACAGGTGGCCTTTCACCCTGACAGGAACTGCCTCTTCTGAGGGCCCTTTGGGGTGATCCCATCAGCTGCAGGTGACGTCCTTGCTAGGAAGGCACTGTGAAACTCAGAATTCTGTGTTGGTGGGGGTGCTGCCTGGGCCTCCCCTGGAGTCCCTGAGCTGTGTTGGTGCCTATGATTCCAGAACTCTTGTCTTATGGACACGGGACTATGTGACTGACCACGTGGCCATGTGCACCAGCTTCTAGACCTGCACTGTCTTCTGCAGGCAGCCAGCCGCCAATGGCCAGGTTGAGATGTGCCCTGAGGGTCAGATGCATATGGATTTCAAGTCATAGAGAAAGACAACATGAATTATTTTTAAAAAAGTAAAAGTGTTGCTAATGATTTATGCTGATAACAAGTTGAAATGATAAACTTTTGGGCATACTGGGTTAAACGAAATGTATTGCCACAGTTTGATCTGTTTGGTTTTGCTTTCTTTAAATGTGGCTACTAGGAAATTAAAAAGTGCATGCGAGGCTCACTTGTATTTCTCTTGGACGGCGCTATTCCTTCTTGTTCAGAGTCAGGCTCAAGGCAAGGTCTGTGCTGGGGTAGGCATGCATGCCATCACACCTGTGCTCTTGGTCTGCTCTGTTTCTTACTGTGTCTAGGGCACATAGCTTGGTGTCCTGGGGTCAAACTTGCTCCTGCAAATCTTGTGGGACCTAAGGAGGGCATGGAAATCAAAGGACTAAAAGGGTCATATGCTGGGTTGCTGGGGAGCCAGATGAGGCAGAGGCAGCATGGCTCTCACCAGGTGCATCCATGCTTGGGCCATGGGTCATGGGCAGACACAGGTGGGGCCCTCAGTGAGCACCGGGCATTCCTGGGGAGTCTGCTCTTGCTCAGAGGTGTCATTGGCCTGCTGGGCTCCTGGAACTTGTCTGACAAAGGGCAGGAGCAAACACTTGGGGCCAGCATTCCTCCCTGCTCCATTCCAGGTGCTCCTGGGACCAGTGTGTCTGGTGACTTCTCCGCAAGTCTCTTCCTGGATCCCACAGGATCTGCTGTGTGGGGACCGGGGGTCGCTGTCACCCTATTGCCTGAGCAAGTCTCAGGCCTCCCACCCAAATCTGGCCTCAGTTGCCCACCAGGCCCTCATGACTGCTGGTCCCGCATTTCCCTGGGACACTGCAAGACGGCCCCTCCCCGTCTCCTCTCCACCCCTGTGCATGGCCTGGTGCTTCTCACTGAGCATCTGCCTGTCCCCGCACTGCTGCTTCCTATGCACGTGTCAGGGCCCTACCAGGCGCTGACCCTACCACCCCCACCTCCCAGCAGGCTATACCCCCCACCTGTGTGGGCTCTTGGGTGGTCTGTGCTGAGCACGGGCACAAGCCTGTCTTGTCCGTACCCGAGTTCCTCATTCTCGCAGTGGGGGTTTCTCTACCCCAACATGGGTGGATGGGGAGAATGTGTCGGGCCAGGAGGCAGGGAGGGGGGAGGGTGCCCGGTGCTCACCCTGCCCTGACTGCCCCTTTTGTGGCAGGAGGAGTTGGAGCAGCTGAACCAGGCCAGCGAAGACATCAACCAAGCAGAGCTGCAGCTGGATGTGAGTGCACCTCTCACACCCTCTGGCCGCTTCTGGCCGCTGGCCCTGCCTCTCCCTGTTGGGCACAGGCAGGGGAGGGGTGTTATGGGAAACGAGGCCTGAGACCGCACACATGCTCCTGCGCCCACTTTTGTCCCTTTGCCAGGAGGCCAGGACCACCTATCGGAAGACCCTGCAGGAGTCTGCGAGGAAACTCAACACGCAGGGCTCCCACTTGGGGAGCTGCATTGAGAAGGCCCGGCCCTACTATGAGGCCCGGCGGCTGGCCAAAGAGGTACGGCTGGGCTGCTGTGTGCCAGCGGACATGCTCAGTTCTGCGCACACCTGTCTGGCTCGCTCTTCTCCCCCGACTCACGTCTCTTTTAGTTGCTTACCCCTCCACTCCTTCACCCTCTTCCTTCCTTTTCTTCTCTTTATACAAATAATGTGGCTTCACTAACAGAAGACTGTAGTTGTAACTAACTGTAAAACAATATAAAGACAGGAAACCAAAATCACCCCAAATCCTGCCAAACATGTTTTATGACTCTTGTACCTGGGATTTGCTTTGGTCAAGCATGGTGAGGTGACAGGCCCAGAGACACCAGCCTTGAGAGAACAGGTTATTTCAGTTGCTAAGCCCGGAGGACATGCCATGCCATGCAAGGCCACACTGGGAAGCACCTGGGTCCACCAGGAGACAGAAGGCCCAAGGGGAAGCTTGGCTCACAGCCTTTTTTCTGGTTTTCCTGGGGAGGAATGGGTGGATCAGGGCAGGCAACTTTGAGCAGATGTAGGATGGGACAGTTTGAGTAATTGGGGCATGCTCTGGGTTCTAGGGTTGTTCCCACTTTTCTGGTACCTGGCCCTGGGTGATTTAGGACAGGGTCATGTTGGTCTGATGTGTGAGCAGGTCACAGAATTGGCAGGCGTTGGCTGGCTGGTTGGCATGAGGAAGGTGTGCTCATGCGAGTTTCCATGTCTAGGAATTAACCAGCACTGGGAGGGCCAGCAAGCCGCTCCCCCCACCCCCCCGCCCCCCAGGTGGCAGTGCATCATAAAATACAGAAAATAAAAAACATGGTTGATATAATACAGTTTACTCCTAAAAATTGTTTTTGTATAGATCCTGCCAAAATGAGATTACACAATGTATGCTGTTTTTATTCCTTTTACTTATATTATGACATGGTTCCATGTCAATAAATATACATCATGCCATCATTTTAAGGGCAGCTTAATTTTTCCTTATATTAGAGATACTAGAGGGCCGGCCGAGTGGCTCAGTTGGTTAAGAGCTCGCTCAAGAGTTTGAGCTCTGAGCAACAGCGGTTCGAGTCCAGCCCGAGCTGAGCAGCCGCTGAGCTGCCAACAGGTAGCAGGATGGCTCAGCTAAAAAAAAAAAAAAAAAAAATAGAGATACTATATTTAACCAGCTTTTGTTTGGTAAGCGTGGCTGTGAAGAACATTTCAGTGCCTGTCTGATGACGTACTTCAGCTCCCCTGTTGGAATGCTGAAGGTCTTGGGCGACTTTCTTTCTGAGATACTCGATGCCTGACCACCTTCCAGCTAAAATGGCATGGACCTTTCTGTGCTCACCAGGGCAGAAGGCCAGCCAGTGGCCTTTGAGACTGCTGGGTCTCACACACTTGCCCTCCACTGGTGGCATTGTCCTTTTCCATCTTTATTTATTTATTTATTTATTTTTATTTTTTAATTAGTTTCAGGTGTACAACAGTCAATAGTTATACTTTTTACCCCTCAACGTGACAACCTCCCTCCCCGTGACAACCTCCCTCCCCCAATCTGCTGCCCCGCTTCCCCCCCTCGATATCATACATATCTATTACAATTCCATTGACTCCACTCCCACACTATACTCCACGTCCCCTGACTATATATATATATACATATATATATTCAATTATAGTTGACATAAAATATTATACAACATCAGCTTCAAGTGTACAGTGCACTGATCAAGCCTCTACCCCATCCATGAATCCATCTTTATTTCTGCGTTTACTTCTCTCAGACCATATCCTCACCAAATTTTCTTTATAGAATGATTTTCCTCGGCATTCTTCCTTACCGCAGTCTGAGAAGTGAAGCCAACAGTATGATGAGTCTTCTTCCCATCCTTCCCCAGGACAGGTCTCCATGGTAACTGGGGGTCTTTCGGGGCTCATGGCCTGACGGCCCTCTCCCCCTAGGCCCAGCAGGAGACACAGAAGGCGGCCCTGCGGTACGAGCGGGCCGTGAGCATGCACAATGCTGCCCGGGAGATGGTGTTTGTGGCCGAGCAGGGCGTCATGGCCGATAAGAACCGGCTGGACCCTACATGGCAGGAGATGCTCAACCACGCCACCTGCAAGGTGAGCCAGGCTGGGCTGGCAGGTCCCCTCCCCGGCTTCCCCTTTGCTGCCGCTTCAACCATCACCCTTCTCGCTCCTTCCTGTGTCCTGCGCTCCAGCCTTCCCTCAGCTCTGACTGCTCCACGCACAACCTGTCATTGCTGTGTCCTGTGTGGCCCACACACAGCCTTGTCACGCACTGCGTTGCTGAGCCCTCAGCCCCAGATGTGGGAACCCCTGCTGCTGTTCTGGGTTCAACACTTGAATCTTGCTTTCTTCAGCTGTGACCCCTCACTTCTGTTTTCAGAATATTCTTCCTTTCTTCCCTTTGAGCTCTGCCACTGTACCTTCATTTTAGAAGTATAATTTGTGTATCATTTTTAAGCCACTTGAAGGGTACCGGGGAGCGGGAGGATCACTGGCACTAGCTCCAGTCTGCTGCCTTCACCTTGCAAATGTCTCAGTTTCCTCAGGCTTTTACAACAAAATAGCATAGACGGGCAGCTTAAACAACACATGTCGATTTCTCACAGTTCTAGAGGCTGAAGTCCAAGATCAAGGCACAGGCCGACTTGGTGCCTGGTTCCTAGACACCACTGTTTTGTTGCTGTGTCCTCAATTGGTGGAAAGAAACTCTTCAGGGCCTTTTTATGGGGGCACTAATGACACTGTCACCTCTCAGAGGGCCACCTCCAATACCATCAACCTGGGATGAGGGTTTCAGCATCGGAATTGTCGGGACAGCGACATTTAGTCTAGAGCAGCATCAGGTTCCCTGTCTGCTCCTTAGTTCAGGCCCACGGCTACACAAGGGCAGGGTGGACAAGGTGGCTGGAGCCCTTGCCTGCCCCCTGCTGGACTCGACAACCCTGTGCAGAGCTGTGGCTCCCCACCCTTGGGCTCCTGCTGTCCCCCAGCCTCACCTGGCACTGAGGGCTCCCTGTGGACGGTGGCTGTGGCAGATGTGCTGGGATATTGCCAACTGGCTCCCGACTTGTCCAGAGGCCCCAAGGCCCTTTCCGGGCAACAGCAACGTTGAAAGGTGGGTGGCGCGGGTAACCATAGGCAGCTGCGAAGACCCACTGTCCTTTGTGTCTCTGGAGATCTGTGTCCTCTCCAGGTTCTGCAGATGGTGGGAGGTTCCCCTAGGGTAACATTTGGAGTGTGTCCTAGCTTAGTGATGTGTGTCCTCCGCCCCACCTGGCCCAGGTGAACGAGGCGGAGGAGGAGCGGCTTCGTGGTGAGCGGGAACACCAGCGGGTGACACGGCTGTGCCAGCAGGCAGAGGCACGGGTGCAGGCCCTGCAGAAGACCCTCCGGCGCGCCATTGGCAAGAGCCGACCCTACTTTGAGCTGAAGGCCCAGTTCAGCCAGATCCTGGAGGTAGTTGAGAGTGGGGGATGGCAGGCGGGCATGGAAAGTGAGGGCGGGGAGGGGGATCCCGGTCTGGATTTACCATCCCTGCCTTCCCCACCAGCCAGGGTCTGTGGTGGGACAGGGACCTCACAAGAGTGCAGAGCGGGGTGGGGGTGACTGCTGGCAGAGAACGGAGCTGAAGGGAAGTGCACAAGAGAAAACGTGAGGTTCTGGGGAGACCAGGAAGAATGGGGAAGAAGAGCCTGCCAGGCAGGGAAAGGGAACCCTGCGGGGGGAGAGGTGGGTGGGGATGAGGCCTGGGTATGGGCGGGGAGACTGGGCTCCCTGCAGAGGAAGACCACTGGCCTCTTCTGGGGTCTGGTGGATAGGGAGCAGGGCCTGGGCTTGGGAGTGCTTCGTGGGTCACCTCACTCTCTCCCTGCCTCCTTATGCAGGAGCATAAGGCCAGGGTCACAGAGCTGGAGCAGCAGGTGGCCCAGGCCAAGACCCGCTACTCCGTCGCCCTGCGCAACCTGGAGCAGATCAGCGAGCAGATCCACGCGCGGCGCCGCGGCCTGCCCGCTGAGCTCCCAGGCCCGCGGCGCACCTCCCCGGTGGGTGCTGAGGCTGTGCCGAATGGCAGCGAGGACAGGGACAGCGGGATACTTGAAGGGGCCGAGGGTGGGGCACCAGAGGACGGTGGCCTGGGGTCCAGGCCCACCCCCGACGCGGACACCTGGAGCCTGCTGAGCCTGCGCACCGTGGCCTCTGACCTGCAGAAGTGCGACTCAGTGGAGCACCTGCGGGGCTTGTCGGACCACGCCAGCCTAGACGGCCAGGAGCTGGGGCCCCGGAGTGGGAGCCGTGGGGGCCGCCACCAGCGCAGCATCAGCTTGTAGCCTGGCTCAGGGTGGCCATCGTAGGCGAGGAGACTCCTGATTCCTGTCCTGGGCCCTCCCTTCCCCTGCAGAGATCCAGTGGGCTGTATCAACTCTGTCAGTTCTGCACCCCCCGCCCCACCCCACACCCCCCCAAGATATGGCAGTGACAGCTCCTTTAGGCTTGTCTCTGGCCCTTCCGTTTTCCTCCTGGTTCCTCACAGTCTGTCCACATCCTTTCCTGCTTCATTCTGACTCCGGTCCTTTAATCTGGCCATCCCCCTCAGGGAACTTGGTCCAGAAGGCACTGGGAGGCCCATCCCAGGTGGGTGCTGGACCTGAGTGAATGGATGGGTTCCATCCCAAGGGCTCTAGGGATGTGGCAGAGCCCTCCTGGCAGTCCTGTGTTCTGTCCCAGCCTGCCCATGTGTAACCTGCAACATTCCTCTGGAGACACCACCCCAGTCCTTTCCACGCTCCTTGCTCATAACCTAGGCCTCTGTGTGTCCCTCAGTGGGAACCGAAGGTGAAACTCAACCCCAGTGTCAATGGGGATATCACCAACTCTACACAGGCTCCCGTGTGCATGGCGTTTACCTAACAGGGCTGGGCCCTTCATGTCTCCAAGGTGCTATTGGGCCTATAATGGTCCTTGGAGGTGGAGATGTTAAGGAGGTGCTGGTGGCTGAGGCCCTGGCCAGCTCTGCTGCAGAGTAGGCTGTACTATTCTGGGTAGAGGTTGCTGAGCCCAATCTCGGCACCTCCTGCAGGACAGAGGGGAATCTGGTGCTCTTCTCCCAACCAAACCATCTAACCCAGGGTCCCTTGGGGAATGATCAGGTGTGGCTGTCCAGCTCCCTGAATGTGGGGAGGGGACCTGCACTCTGCAAGGAGCAGCTCCAGTATCTGGTGGTGCTGCCAGGTGGTGTGAGTGTGTTCGGGGGAAGGTGGGGGAAGCCACACCGGGTCTGGGTGCCTTGGGGAACTGGTCCTTCTGTCTCACCCTGGGAGGGCTGATAGCTGGACTCTGGGCAGGAGGGCTCATGCCTAGGCCTGTGTGCACTGCCATCAATGGGAGCAGTGGGCCCTCATGTGGAGGGTGTCTCCCTGATACGGGGTTCAGGCAGGATGGTCACAATGAGAACCGCTGGGTTTGAGGTGGCCATGGGTGGGGGGAAGAAAGGGAGGACATAGGTGTGTGCATGTGCCAGTGTGTGTGGGAAAAGGGTCTGCCCTTGATTTTATTTAAATAAAATAGTTTACGTAACAGTAATGTTTACTACCCCTATTGGGAGAGGATGGGGGAGGGGAAGAGGGTGAAGGAGCCATTCTATGGGGTGGCCAGGGAAGGCCCTTGGGAAGTGAAGAAGAGACGGACAAAGATCTAACCAGGCCATGGGAGGACAGAAGGCTTGTGGTCACGGCTGGGTGAGAAGCATGGGAGGTCCCCACCCTGCCTGCTGGATGAGGAGGGGTCTCTAGGGTGTATAGTGGGGTGGACACACCATGTACTGCTGTGGCTCAGGTGAGAGTGCCAGTCCCAGACAGGAGTGTGAAGGGGAGGACCATCCGAGTTGTGGGATTTAACAAATATACAGGATGCCAATGAGACTTGAATTTCAGACTGAATTATTTTTGTCTGCAGTGTTTAGGTCATACTTCTTTTTGTCCATCTAAAGTTAAAACTTAACATACAAAAGGTGACTCCCAAGTCAGGGCTTGACCTGTTGTGGGACAGGAGGGCTGTGGGTGCCTTTGGAGTCTAGCCTGTGGAGCATCCGGTGGGGTCAGGTGGAAAGTGTGGAGGTGGACGGAGGCTTTGCATTGACCAGAGGTGCGCCTGCGTCTAGGCCAGGTGAGGAGGGGTCAGCTAAGGGAGGACGAGATGCAAGAAACCTGGCCAGAAATGGGTGTCCAGAAGACCCTTAAGAGGCAGGCAAAGGCCTCAGATGGCATACAGGACATGCACTGTGTACAGAACACAGTACGAGCCCTGTGATAAGTACTGTTCAGGTGCAAGGCTTCCTTTCCCAGCCAGGCTTATCCTAATTGAGAAGGAAAGTGATAAGGCAGATAGGCACCAAAATATTTCCTTTATCCCTGGAAAAGCTGCTGTGAGAGTGCATGGCCTCTGTCCTGGAGCAAGGGAGCTTTCTGAGATTACACCAGGGTCATCCTTCCCTCCCCAGTCCCTGGCAGTGTGAGACCTGTAAGGCTCCTGGTGTGAAGGAACCCAGGAGGGGCTGGCTGCACCCCTCTAGTTTCTTGCAAAATCACCTGCCAGGGCAGGAACGGGGAGAGCAGGAGGCTGAGTGCTGATGGTGCTTCCTTCATGTGGAAAAAGATACCCCAGACCAATCCTGACATCAGTGCCCATCACCCACCCAGGCCATGTCCTGTGCCAGGCATTGCCTTGACTCATCTCCCACAACCATGCTATGCGGTGGGTGGCACCACAGCTGCTATTTGCAATGAGAGGCAGGCACAGTGGAGTGTGGTCTGCCCCAGCCTTGTGGAAGGTAATGGAGCCCAAACTTGAGCCCTTGAATAAAGGAACTCACAGGAATCTAGGTGAGGCAGTAGAGGGTGTAGTCACCCCTGAGGAAGTTTTACTGGAAAGAGGAGCTGAGAGAGAACGGTCAAGGAATTTTGCTTCAAAAGTGGCAGGAGACTGTCAGGTTCTGGGGCATATGGGGCATCATCTTTCTCATTCCTGTGCCATGTCATGTCATGTTGCACTGAGTGGCAAGTAGTGCTTCTGCATGACCTCAAGTGAGCTGCTGAGTCTCAGTTTGCCAGGTCCCCAGCACACGCCTGGCGCCTAATAGGTGTTCAGCGATCGTGCTTTCACACCTTCATCCTTCCCTGCCTGGTGTACACCAGGTCACCTCATGAGTATGTGGTTGGGGTGGGGTTTTCTGGGATGTCTACACTTCAATCATTTGCCTGTAAAATGAGAAGGTCCGGGTGTGCCCAGCACGATGTCAGCAGTTCTCTGCAGCTTCGGGATGCAATGAGCCTTTTGTGAGGGACCTCCTCCCACCCAGTGCTGGACACCAGGGACTGGGCCCCCCTCTCCCTCTGGGTGTGCCTGGAGGGGGACAGGCTTCAGGACTGTCACTCCCCGTGCTGTCAGCAGGGGGCAGCAGCCGCACACATCCCTGGCAGTCAAGCAAGGCCTTCCCTGGTCCAGTGGACACACCAGTAAAGCAAGCTCTGCCTGTCCCTGCTGGGGCCTCCAGCATTCCTGCCTGTCCTTGGGGCTGCCCGCTGTGTGAGAGCTGGGCCAGGTTTGGGGGGTGGCCTGTCATTTGGGACCAGATGTGCCTGTTGCGTCCTGTGCACCACTTCAGCCCACCTTCCATGGCCTCCCTTCCTCAGCCTCCCTGCACATTCCCCTCCTGGGCAATCTCTTGCCCCTCCCTCCCGCATTCCTGAGCCCCAGGCCTCCGCACTGCCTTCCCAGAACCCAGGGAATCAGGACCATTTCACTGGCTGGCAAATGGAGGTGTTCAGTTCATTAAGAAATATTTGCTGAGTGTTGTGCAGTTCATTAAGAAATATTTGCTGAGTGTTAGAGAAAAAATGGCGGCGGTGAGGAGGGCTCCCTGAGTTCTCCCCTGGAAAGCACAGCAATTTGAGCAGCTGGAGTGCAGCAAACAAACCTATACCAAGCAAGCTCAGCAGCGAAGGGACTCCCACGCGGAGTACTTCAAGGTGGGCAGACTGGGCAAGTGCGGGAATAGGGAAGCAAAGCGCGTGGAGGCACAGCCCGCACCTCTGGCTGCTGAGAATCAGGGTCTCAGAGAGCAGATCGGAGCGTTCCCGCAGCTCGCTCCCTACACCTCCAGCCCCTGCTAAGGCAGACTCCTCAGGCCGGGCACAAAGCAGAACGGAGAGAGGAGGGCGTGAGCGGAGGCACAGTCTTTCCGTCCGCACCCGGGGCTGCGGAGCTGTGGGAATCCAGGACAAGGCGGAGTGGTTTACAGCACCAGGGCGGGCTCAGATGAGAGAGCAACAGGAGCCCCAGGGCGCGCAGTTTCTGAGGCAGAAATCTCAAACCAGGGAGCAGAAGACGCGTGGAGACGCAGCCCACACCCAACAGCTGTGGAGACATGAGCTGCTTTGCCAGGGGGTGCTCCTGGAGAGCAGCAGGGGCTCTGCGGGAGCATCGGAGGGGGCTTTTAAATTTTTTTTCCTATTTTTTTCTTTCTTTTTTCCCCTTTTCTCTCAGATAGGAAAAATAAACTGCATAGATAAGTGCACACCCCCACCCTCCCTCAGAAACCTTGCCCCCCTCCCTGCCAGAGCCTGAGGCTGACTCTTGAAGAGAGGAGTAAGTCAGAACAAAGGTGCTTGGACTCCCTATTTACATGAGAAGAGGCTGCAGGTGGGAGCTACTAAACACGCTGTTCCCGCCCCCACCTCCTGGGCAGCTTGGGAAGCAGATCAGCTTTGGCTGCTGAGACACAGGAAGGCCTACCAGCAGCTCTGAAATCTCCACCCCCTGCCCTCCAACAGCCCCAGTGGAAAGAGTACCCGAAGACGCACATCCAGTCCTTTGGCTGCGCAGAAATCAGAGTGCCTCTGGACAGGCAGGAGCAGAAATAACACTGACTTTGTAAAAGAAACTACCAATCACACCTTGTAACTCCACTCATCTAAAATAGACCTGCATTACCAAGCTCACTCTATGTACCAGGTGGCTAGCTCTGCGCCCCACAAGACACACAGGAGTGTGTGTATAGCAGAGGAAAACCTGGGGAGAGCTTGGCGGACTTCAGCCAATATTGGCACTGGTTATTTCTTGTTTTTTTCTCCCCCTTTTTTTTTATTGTTTTCAGTTTGGGTTTCTCTTTTGGTGTGTTAAATTGTTTTTGTTAATTGGGTTCTCTTGGATGTTTTGGGTTTTTTTCATTGATCACGTGTGTTGGTTGTTTTTGGATTTTTCTATTTCATTATAATTTTAATTTTTTATATAGGCATATATAAAGGTACGTATATGTGGATAATTATGTCCATATATATGGGGGTGTAGATATATACATACATATATATATATATATATATATTTTTTTTTTTCCTCTTCATTTTTCACTTTCCTTCTAATCTCTCTCTCTCCCTTCTTTCCTGCTTCCTGTCATAGCTTGATTTGCCTCCTCCTTTCCATTTTTTCTGCAAGTATTTTTTTTTGCTGTTGCTCTTGCTGTTTTAAAGGTGTTGCTATTTTGTTTCTCGCGTTCATTCTATTTTTCAGTTTATTATGTTTTATTTTATCTTGTCCTGCTATTTGTTCCTTGTTTTTTTGTTTTTTTTTTCTTTTCTTTCTTTTTCTCATTGTTGTTTTGTTCCTGTTGGTTTGTTTTCTCCTTGTGTATGATTGATATTTCTATACATGTTGAGTGTAGGATGATGGTTGTTTTGTACATCAGAGAGTCTCTGGTTTCCTTTGGTGGCTGTTGTGGTTGTGCTCATTGATCTGTTTTGCCTTAAAACACACTCTGCAGCGGGGCCCAGCCAAAGAAGCACAAGAATCGTCACACCCAGAGACCAACTTTAGATAAAACCAGAGCATTACAGGGTCTGACCTACAAGATTCACACTCAAAGGGAAATTGCTACAGGAACAAGAGCCCCTTGGGGCCAAGCCTCATCAGAGGGGTCAACCCTCACACAACAGCTTACAAACTTTGGACACAGCTAATCCTCA